ACAGCAAGGTGTTATTCATATAAGCCCAAGCATGACATATGTCATGATTAATATAATAATCGAAACACTCTTGTAGGCTATTCTTATGCTTGGCCAAATGTCATGACTTTCACTTTCACTTTATATTATTATGCACAAGCCCAGATATCATCTGAAACTTCGGAAGAATTCCTATGATATATTGGCAGCCATCTAGCATCTCTTAATCAGTTTGCTGTGGGGCGCTGGCTCTGACCGGCCACCGGAGCTCGCAGCCACTCGTTCGATTTTGTTGCGTGCAAGCCGCACAGCACAGGCATAAAAACGTCAATCATTTAATTCATTTATCAATTCATTCATTTTCCTTCCGCTTAGTCTCTATTTTAGAGGAAAAACAATTGTTCTGGACAAACTAAAGACATTTTGCAAACGTTTAACCGTGGCAGAACCCCAAAAATTAGAAAAAAGAAGAGAAAGACCATAGCAAAGTGATAGCTAAAAAGGATAAATAGAAATATTAATTTAGAATCACGGATGACTTATTTAAGCGCAATAGCCCAAATAAATGTCATAAAATAATAATATTAACTATCATAATAATAATTTAAATAATGAAATTATACAACCTATCCCAATCCTGACATAGCTGCGTTTAAATAATAACTGAAGACGCTCCTTTAATGTATTCGCACGCTATGTTAAATTATTTTAAACTACACGTCCCATCCATAACCAACCTTAAAGAGCCCATATTATTCATGAAATAGGGCCATATTTTGGTTGTAAGGGTCTCCAACAACAGTCTAATATGCATGCAAGGTCAAAAAACACTTTCATGGTCTTATAATCTGCATTTATTTTTACCTAATTATCCCAGCGAATCCCGTATGAATCGTCCAGTGATTCATTTGTTCCCAAACCCCTCCTTAGCGCGATGCTAATCTGCGATGATTGGACCAATGACAGTCTGCTGCGAATGGTTGACACTAACTGCTTTCAACCAGAGACAGAGCGAATAGCCAGCAGCTAATCAACAATATAGAAGTAGTCAGTGTATACACGCTCGATAGTGTAAGGCGTGGAGTTTAGCTGCCAGTGGATGAATGTAAATACAGACGACTAACTATTTTATTGAGCAAAAACTCCCAAGAACTGGCGAGGAGATCTCCTAGCTTGTCACATTCTGCTCTTTTTACAGACACACACACACACACATTTTGCCCTCGTCCTCGCACACGCGTCCACACACACACACACACACATATTGCAAAAAAGCTGGGCTTATGCTGAGGTTTCATCTTTGGGTAGAGACTCAATAATATCCATCTGCAGTGTGACTTCAATCGACCGGCATGTTTGTGTGTGTGTGTGGGTATCTGTGTCAGAGGGCGAGGCCGCAGGTTTCGAATCTCCCGGGTTTGCGCGTGCACGTGAGTAACTTGGTTTCGTTCGTACGTCATGGTGAAACACCTAATGACCCGGTATCAAGGCGACTCGTTTGAAGCACTATAAGTCGACTCTTTTATAGATGAATCAACCGTTTTAAACACTGTACTCTTACAGATTTAAGCCTTAGCTGGATACTTCACTTCACTTAGAGCTGTGTTACAAACTACATGAAGGGGAATTTTCAAAAACCCATAATATGGGCTCTTTAAATCATACCTGAACTCTCTGTTTAATAGTTCCAAGTAAACTGTTTTGTGTGACATTCCCATAAAATCTCTCTGGTTTTGAATATCTTTGAATCTATTTTGTATTATTATTATAATATTTCCTCTCTTGTTTCTCTTACGTTTATATTCTTTAGCTGTCAATATAATAGTTCACGTCTATGGAAGAATGAGTTAATAAAGATAGAGAATGTGTATCATCATATTCATCAAAAGACGTTAATGTGCAAGTAACCGCACCGGTCCGAGCAGGGAGCGAGCCGGCATGGGAGTCAAATGCTCCGAGGATGCTAAAGATTGCAGAACAGCGTCTGTCGCTGGATCCGAGGAGTGAGATTTACGCGATCACCAGCTGGCTTCCGTTGCATAAGGGCAAATATAGATGACTATAACCTCATTTAATCATTTTACTCATACATTTTATTATTTATAATGTCCAAGGCATTGATATTAATATTAAATTCTACTTTTGTGCCTTTATTAGCTTTTTTATCGCCTGTTTACTGGGTTAAAAATCTTACATTATTCCATCTCCACCTGCTGGTGAAAGCTAGAGCAGCTAGCGATCTTCCATCTGCAATCTATTGCTTCTCCTGCAGTTCCTGGATGTAATGTTGAATTTAAACAGTCGAATTTGAACCACTGAATTTATGGAAGCGAATCTATGTTAAATTTCAGAACCTAAAAATACAAACCCTGGAATTCAAGTCATTAAAATGCAAGAACTTGTTAATACGGTGTATTATTTTTTTCAGTTTGTGCTATTCAACAGGCTTTTTAATTCAAGACTTTTGGTTCATTGATTTTGTTCCATAGGCGTACGCAAAGTTTTTGCGCATACGCAGCATTGACACATGAGCAAGTGTGCCGCAAGCCTGCGTTTGAGTGAAGGTCTCGGCCGTTAGATCGCCCCCTGGGGGCTGGCTGCAGTACAAGTCATAAAGCCCGCCTCCTCCGTGTTAATGAAGGAGACTTGAGCCCAAATAAAAAAATTAATTACACTTGCAATAAAATGTCCCGAAAGATGGTTCTGGTCGATTAAGGCACTGATTATTGTGCTGAAATAGGTGCAGATCTTCATTTTTGTAAACAGTTTGTTTTTAGCAGTAATTTAATGCTGGGCGTGTCATCGTGATTGACAGCTGTGATTGACAGTTTCTCAAAGCAGACCGTCTGAGCTTCGGCAGAAGACTGAAGTGTTATTACTCGATTTCTGTGATATTTTACTATGACAAAATGAGTTCAGCAGTAAACTACAGTTTCTGACATACATGATCTGGTGGAACACAGTTTATTCGCTAAGGTCAGGGCTTTTTTCGGGCTTTATTAGTTTGCTAATACACGCCTAGCCACCTAGATAGCAAAATACCTCTGCTGGACCTACTCCGGATGCCTGGACTCACTGCCCGATTCCAGCCAGAGTCAATTGAGCCAGATGCGGCGGCCGAGCGAGCAGGCGCTGCCGCATGCGAGCCGGAATCAGCCCGCGATGCCGCGAGTAGGTTATGTGCGCTGCTGCCCGGAGCTGGCGCGATTGTATCTTCATTATATAAAACCCTCACATTTGTTAACGTTATTACAACCATTTTTGTTGATATGACAACAAACTCATGCTACTATGTGAACGCAAAGTGTATCACTGAGTTTAACCTTTGAATAAAGATGCAAACAGCATACATAGCAATTATTTAAATAAAGGACAAAATAAATAACAATAAACCTGTATCGATTGCACAAGTATTAAATAATAATACAATTGAATACATTTTGTAGTGCACAAGAATTAAGAAATACGAAAATGACAATAAAACTGCACAATAAAATAAACCCATTTAAGTACGGGGAAAATACAGGAGATCGTTAGCAGTAATTCTCTTTGTGTCTAAATAATAATCTCCACGTTGATCTCCTGTAAGGTTATTTGAACTTGCTTTACAGGATGTTTCTGCATTTTACGTTTTGGCATGTTATTAAGTAATATACTGAATTTGCTGTTATAAATCATTATAAGGTTCTTGAAATCGAATCTTATATAACCTAATAGAGCTGTAAATGCTGTAAAGGCAAAAAAAATTAAATAAATAAACAATTCAAGCGAAAATGAATAAACAATATACTAGTGATGTTGCAGCAGATAGACATTGTATTAATAGTGCAAAGTTTTTTTGCACAAATTGACAAATTGCAGGGTTGGGATGTGTAAATATCCTGTTGATATTTAGTAATCTTGCTGTATTTATCTTCTAAACGCACGATTGTTCCCGCATGGTAAATCGTTATGGTGTGTAGGCTATTTTGGGTTCTGTTGATGGCTAATTAAAAATAAAAACCTTTCTAAAAATGTATGTGTTGTTTATATGTTATTGTTCATATTTTACAAGTGTTATTTCTACCCCTATGAAGATAACAAATATCAACAACAAATAAAACAATAAGAGAATATATTATTTGTGCTCATATTCAGGCTAGAGTGTATAAAAGATCGTTTATTTCTGCAGTCCACCATGTATTGCTTTTATTAAAGTTTAACAGCTTACATCACACCGTTTTTAATCCGTATTTTATTGTGTTTTTTAATGTAAGTGCTTCTATTTACATCAGTGAGCGTTTCTTATAGTGCAGACACCGGCAGTCGAGTGAGAAGTTCGGGGGGGGGCGTGGTTGATTTTACATAAATCGTTTGGTTGGAAGCTCGACTCCGCTCATTTTCGCGGCTCCTCCTCTGGCTCCATCAGACAATACTTCTGCGCATGTCAAGGCTCCAATTTCAGCAGTCTTTTGCGACAGTTTGTGCCCGTCAAGCAGGCGTTTTGCCCTCAAGGCGTTCAATGGGAAAAGGGGCTGTCGCGTCGTCCATATTTTTTACAGTCATTGCACATGAGGCCCCAGGTGCAGCCCTGTTTAGCTTCAATGGGTGATCATGTGAGAGTTGCAGAGAGCAAGCTGGCGGCTGAAGTAAGTAAGCAAGTATTTTAAACAACAGAAGATACTTTACTTGTCAATGTCACTGTACTTTTAAAGAAAATTATTTAATGATTAATTATGTTTCCAAACTCTTTAAAAAGTTCACTAAAATAGCATCATTAAAATAAACAGAAAATCTGGAATGCTAACAAAAAGTTTACACATATATTAACAACTCATAGGCAGGACAGAATGACAAGAAGTAGATTTAGTTTGTTATTGCATATAGTCAATTTCCACAAGAAGGTGCCATTGAGTTAATTTGAGTTCAGTGTCTTTCTGTATGTTCCGTCTGTTTCTCTGCAACATTTGCATGAAGATTCAACCAACCTGGACAAGTTTCAAACAACCTGAAACCACAACACACACACACACACGCGCACACACCACACACACACTACATGAGATTGACACTCTCAGTGACGTAAGAAGATAAACCAAGAAGCACAACCAAGAGATACAGAGACAGACACAAAGAAACTGAATAATAAAAAAGTTATAAAAAACAGAGCGTTGCTGAGAAATTACACAGGTGAAGAGCACGTATGATCCAACAAGGTGAAGATAAGAAGACAAGAAAGAAATGGAAGAAACAGAAATGGTGAGATACATCATAGAGGAACTTAAACTTTCAGCACACTTCCACTTCACTCTTAGTCTTTCTCATACACACACTCAATTAAAACACAGTGCAGCTCTTTTAAACACACATTGTTTGGTAAAACTTTCAATCATGGGTTACTTTGTCTTCCAGATCTTCTGTAATTTTGCTGTTTTTCTCCTACTGCTATCACTTTGTGTTAGCGGCACCTCAAATGGTAAGTATTCATACTGCTCTCTAATGTCCGATTACTAAATAATGTCAGTCAGTAATATATTGATTAATGGGATGGAACATTGTGGTCTGTGAATGACAACACTTTTGGTATGTGTACAGTTTTGTGAATACTTAACACTTGCTATTTAACCTTTCACCTGACAAACAGTATATACATCTGTAAACTTTTTTTCTTAAATTATACATGTTTTGCCTTATAGCTGCTTATATATTGCAAAGAATCATGCTGTTCGTTTTATCTTGAAAAGTAGTAAAAAGATATATGCATGTATATGTAATTTTATTTTAAATATGTAGAAACGTAAATATCTAAACCATTTACATATCTTAGATAATATAATTTAGTTGAAAATATACTAACCTAGTTTTTAAAGCAATTATGACAGATGTGATGACTCTAGATAAGTTTTTGAGTATCTGATTCTTAGAAAAACAGCACTTGCGTGTCGCATTCTGCTTTGAAATTTTGAGGAAGCATAGAGTAACAGATTAATAGATATAATTACAATAGTACGTTTAAAAAACTAATTCACATATGTCTATAAGATGATGTGCTTTAAAATTTATAAACATAAATTGAAATTAATTTTAAAGGTTGAAAAGCCTATACATTTATCCTAACCCACTGACCATTTTGCTGCCTTTAAGTTCAAATTAATTTTACAAGTTATTTCAACTTACATCAATTAAACAGACTTAAAACATCAAGTCAATATTTGCATAACTTAAAAATAAAGCTGAAACTTGATTATCTTATGTTATACGTTAATGTTAGATCTAAAAGACATACGTTGTCATAACTTTTTGATCATAAAAATATAACAGCGTACTCTGTGTAATTAAAACTAAAAACTGTATTGTGAAAAATGAAGTAGTTTCACTTTACTTTTTCTGAATTTTTTTTTTTTTTTGGGATTAGAAAATTATATACTATGGTGTTTTTAAGGTGGTCAATGCTGATGCAGTTCTTTCTTTCTTTCTTTCTTTCTCAGAGACTGAGCCACAATGTTTAATAAAGCTCAAAGTGACACGAAACACTGTGTTTAAAGCTCATGCTATGACAGAGCTGAAGATAAACTGCACTGTAACGCATCATGGATGTCAGAGGATCCCAGTAATCTCATGGTGCAAACTCTATGGACAAAACTGTAAAGCTTTAAATCACTCAGATGTCATAAAAACTGAGTGGAAGAATAAAACAGAGAATGAAGGAATGGCTTTCCTGATTTTCCAGAACGTCTCAATAGAGGATGCAGGTTCATACAGATGTAAAGAAGGTGACATGTCTGTAAGCCATACAATTAATGTTACCTTTACAGGTAAGTAAAATGTAAACATTTACACAATTCATTGAATAGAAATATTAAATGTACAACAATATTCTACTGGATTTTTTAGAAAATAATGGTGAAGATAAAGTTTCTCACAATCAAAGTAACAAAAGTAAGTGCAAGATTATAAAGTGGCACAAAATGCTCAACTTTTTATTAATTTAGAAAAATATTCAAGTGGAGGACTAATATATACAGCAGGTATTGATATTATTTTTGCTTATGTCTACAGTAGATGATTCTAATTCAGTTCTAGACGATGGCCTGCTGTGGTTGTGGCCATATGTGTACATCTTCAGTGGAATAGCGGCGCTGGTGATCATCATTATAACCATAACTTTATTTGTCTTCAGGTGCCAAGGTGAGTAGGCTGCAATACGCAATAAAACCTAAACTTTATGCTTAAATAAAATTATTTCATTAGTTGTGTTTTTTTCATAATACTGTGATTTTTTCCATAGACACAAAATCCAAAACAGAAGAAATGAAAAGTAAAAATCAGGTATCCATTGTCTTAATTTTGGTCTGAAAAGCATTTCCCCCCTTTGTATCCACTAATCATTATTTTTAAATGGCTCTTTTTTCACATCTTCAGTACATGGAAACTCAAAGTAGCGACCTGCTTCCTCCTCCTCTTCCTTATCCCCGTCATGACACCCGTTCTCCTTCACACCAGAGAGGCTCTGCTTCAGATCGTGGCTCTGAAATTCCACCTGGCAGAGGAACATCATCAGCTGGAAGAGTCAAAGAGAGAAGCCATCACACTGTCAGCACAGAAGGAGGAGAAAATGATAATGCTCTGATCTATGCCTCTTTGAATCATCAAGCTGTGTCGAAAGTGCATAGAAAAACTGCAAGGCAAGAACCAGAAACTTCAGAATATGCTGCAATCCGATTACGGTGATTGCAAGGATTGTTTACTTAGACACTTTAAAAAAAAGACTATTGAGAAATGGCCAGTTGGGAAATGAGGTCACTATTCAAAATATTGCTATAATAATTTAAACACTCACTGTGAGGAGCAAGAATCCATGTTTGTGGACACTTCTTTATTTTGGATCAAATGACAGATTGCTGTTATATTTAAGGACTGGCATGCATTAACCAAAAATATTCTCTTGTTTGCAAAAATAATTCGAGCTCTCTAATATGCCTTACTAAAATACATATAAACAATTATAATAGCATTATTGTGGAATATGATGTCGCTGATGATGCTGATAGTGATAAATTAGTAAATAACAATGGCTTGTACAATGGATCACCATAAATGTAACTTTCTGTTTTATTAAACATTAGGATGGATTTTTTTTTTTATCTTTTTATATGTTTTTTTTATTCATATAATAAACAGATGCTGAATATAAGGCCTGTTCATGCCTAAACAAATATTTAAAATTGGGAACATTCTAATGTCTTTTAAATCACATTGCCAAGAAAACAGGCCGATAATAATATATGCACTTTTGGTCACAAGCCTAAAGCTGTTGCAGTTGCATATATAGTTTTACAATACAAAATTATAATCATTTGCCAAGGAACATTTAACAAAGCAAGGAAATTTTTTCCATAGTATTTCCTATTAAATTTTTCTTTAAGTGAGAAATCTTTAAAAAATATATATTCACAAAGCATATCTTATAAACAGGAAATATTTGAAAAAAATAATAATAAAAATTTAACAGGAGGACTAATAATGTCCTCAATTGTAATTAAAAATTGGTGTTGTTTAATAAACAACAAAGCAAATAGAAAAAAATCTGAGCTACAGTTTGGAAACAAATGTTTTTATTTTTTGTTAAAAAAATAAGCTTTTGACAGAACTTTTTATTTACTTTTAGACAGAGAAATTGTCTTTTAATCAGACTTGCCTTTGTTTACCAATTAATTTCGTCTAAAAAGTCACATGTCAAAATCTGATTGAATTTTTGTGTCAAACATTTGAGTGGTTCATTCCGCTGTGGCGATCCCAGAATAATAAAGGGACTACGACAAAAAGAAAATGAATGAATGAATTTGGGTTGCTGCGAAGCAACAGTTATGAACAGTCCAATATATTCCATTCTGGACCTGTATAAAACCAAAGGGCCCTATCATACACCCGGCGCAGTGTGTCGCAAGGCGTGGCGCAGTAGTCTTTTGGTAGTTTCAGCTTGGCGCAAGAGTAGTTTTGAGGCGTTGCGCTAAGCTGTTTAAATAGCAAATGCATTAGCGCTCATTTGTGCGCCCATAGGCGTTCTGGTCTAAAAAGGAAGGCGTTCTAAGGCGGACTGCTGGCGCGTTGCTATTTTGAGAAACTATAATAGATTTTTCATTAGACCAAAACAAACCCGGTCTAGGGCTCTATTTTGACGGTCCAAATCGCAGGGCGCAAACGCTTTCAGGGCCAAGGCGCATGGGCTAAAAGGGTTGAGTTTATTTTCTTAATGAGTTATAGGTGTGTTTTGAGAATAAACCAATTAGAGTCTCATCTCCCATTCCCTTTAAGACCCAGCTGCATCACGCCAAGAGCGCATTCGCTATTTACAGGACGCAAAGTAAGTCTAAGTGGAAACAATTTGCATTTCACAAGCAAACAGTTAACAGTTGACAGCTTTTTTTTTACAGAAAACTGTTAAACAGAGCATCTACTGCGTGAGAATGAGAGATAATGGATCACTTTCACTTTCGCTCTTGGATAGGGAAACCTTTACTCACAGACATCAATTAGCCTATAAATAATTAATTTTGTTTAAGCGCAAAGATTTGTTTCAAAACTATTTCTAAATTTAGTTCTAATTTCTAGGAAACGAATAAATGAACAATAAGGACCAAGTGTGGTCAAAATACTGAGTTATGTTCAAATACACCTGCCATGCCCATATGGTCTAAAACCTGACAGGTGAGCAAATCTAAGCTTGTTTTTAATAAAACAAATATAAATATGGATATATTAAATAATACTGCTAATATTAATAACATTATACAAAAGCAAATTGTTATGAATGAACTGAAAAAGCCTCCCGAGATGAAGAAGACATAAAAGCAGTGATTTTACATATTTATGTAGGCTAGAAAATAATATGTTTTGTAATATTTTAATCCTTTATATTTATATCCTATATCTATTCTTATTATATCCTATATATATCCTTAATATAAAATTATTTCATATGTAAAGATATTTGCCTATTGCTCTCTTGTGCGTATTAAGCAGTGCGTAAGCGAGGCGCAACTCTGCGCCGGAGTTTAGACCGGGTTAGTTTTGGTCTAATGAAAAATCTATTATAGTTTGTGATTATAATCTTTTTGATTCAAATTGCCTTTAAAATAGAAAATTACCCCCTTAGTAAAATTAAAAACATGCCTGACTGTCATTTTTTTCTTGACCACAATAAATATTTTTGATATTTAGATTAGGTTAAATAAAATTTTATTGTGTAAACCAAAGTTAAATTATACTTTGAGAAAACAAACAAACAAAAATATATTTATGATTTTTTTTATTTAATTTAAATGTAGTCTGTCTAAAAGATTGTTTGTGTCTGGACATCTTTTAGAAAGCCTACAATAAAATAAAAATAAATAAATAAAATTTTAATTATGTTGCCTTTAAAAGTATTTTTTCATAATAAACTAAAGTGAGTCTATGCAGAGTACAACCCGAAGCCCACAAGAGCAAAAACACACAAATACACTTCCTGTATGAGCAGGGGGAGACAGCAACCTACCAGATATGATGGTGGGATTCTTTACCACCCACAACTAAAAACATCACGTACAACCTCATTTATTTAAATGCATTAAGGTCAATGAGAACCATACCCTCTTCTTATTACCACACAACCACAATGAATGGTTGTATAAATTACCTCCCACTGTAAATGTAATAAAGGTCAATAAGTAATGTACGCTCTTCTATTTAAACTGTACACAGTGTGTTTTTGTGAATGAGTAAACACATGCAGTGCTTTTATGCAAATGTATAAATCAGTTTGCTGCTGTTTTTTTTCTTTTGTTGTTTGTGTTGGTGTGTCTGGTTTTACCCAAGACTGTGACTCATTCTTTTAAAGGGGACTTCCGTATAGGGTCATATAACTGCATTTACCTTGACATGAGTCTAAGATCGGTTTCTCTTGGAATTGGTAAAGAAGTACAACATTATAACATTTTAACAAGATTCTCCTCTTTTAGATCACTCAGACTCTGGTTTACTGAACTGAAAACCTTATATAAGAAGATTCATTTATTTATTTTAATTATGGAATTGTCTCCTGGTTATATCAGACTAACCTTTTCTGTATTTTTTATTGCCATTTAACATTTCTTAAATGATTTTCAGTCAATTTCTTGAATGGTTTTTAGATTTTCCCTTATTAGGTAAGCTAAAAGTGTCCATAGTGTGTGTGTGTGAATGAGTGTGTATGGATATTTCCCAGTTATGGGTTGCAGCTGGAAGGGCATCCACTGCGTAAAACATACGCTGGATAAGTTGGCGGTTCATTCTGTTGTGGGGACCCCAGATTAAAAAGGGACTAAGCTGAAAAGAAAATTAATGAATAATTACTGTTAGTTGCATAAATATTTGGACATCGACACAATTCTAGCATTTTTGGCTCTATACAGCAACACAATGGATTTGCAATTTGATCAATTTGAGGGTATATACATTCAAATCAAGTCAATCACCTGAATTGAATTCGTTTGAGCTTGCATTTCACTTGGTGAAGACAAAATTGACGGGAAATGCTCCAAGAACTTGCAGGAACTAGTTGCTATCGAGGCCTGGTAGAGCACCACCAGGAATGAAACTCACTGGTGATGTCTATGCATTCCAGACTTCAGGCTGTAATTGGGGAATAAATACCCTCAAATTAAAGCTGACAGTCTGCAGTTAAAGCACATCTTGTTAGTTTCATTTCAAATCCATTATGTTGGTGTATAGAGGAAAAAATTTTAGAATTGTGTAATGTCCAAATATTTGTGGACCTAACTACACTAACTAAACTTTGTAAATTAATATAAATATTCATTGTTCATCATAATTTAATGATTCTCTCTCTTTCTCAAAAAAAAAAAAAAAAAAACTGGGAACTGAGAAAAAAAAAAAACTTATTTTCTCAGTTCCCAGGTTTTGCAAGTTTTACTTCACAGTTAACATAATCTGATCTGTCCAGTGTGCTCTCTTTGACCCATGAAAATGTATGTTTGGCTGTCTCTGTTCTGCTTTCAAAATAACATTGCAACAGATTATGGAGAACAGAAAATACAGCAACACACCACACCAAAACAAGCTGATGATCAACATATAGCACATAAACCTTTGCTACTGAAAACTTTTTTTTTTTTTTTTTTTATAAAAATCTTTCACTGAAGTTTTCAAAAGCTACAGATAAAAAAAGGCTCCTTATTGATACCTTAATAGGTATATATCTGAACAGTGGTTCCACACTTTTTTGGCCTGAGACCCGGAAAATATTGTAAGGCCCCCCTCCACATTTAATGATATTGCCACTCATAAAAGTTTGCAGTAATGATGACAAAAAAATGTTGTTTTCAAACAAACAGTATGTTTCAAGAGTTCACACTTAGCTGATAATCAATAAAGCGTATTTGGCATGCTGTCCCGGGAGAGAGCCCTGAGCTCGTAATATCCTCGAGCCCGAGGCTCCCTCTTGTTAGAAGGGCGAGAGGGGAGTTCCAGGTCAGGTAGGTCTCGAGAACTCCCCTGCTTGTCACCGTGAGAAGTGTGAACTAAGGTTGTATTGGGTGATAATTTGTTTTAGTCGATTAGCTATGGTTTATGTTTTTGGACGGTGGGAGGAAACCAGGGAACCCGGGGGAAATCCACGTGAACATGGGGAGAACATGCAAACTCCGCACAAAAACATCGACCGGCCTGAAAGGTTGGACCGGCGGTGTTCTTGCTGTGAGGCAACAGTGCTAGCCACTGGGCCACCGTGTCGCCCAATCAGAAAAAGGAGGAGGATGAAGGGGTCGAAAGGGGGGAGCTTTAAGACGAAGATACCTAGAGTGTAAAACTATTATACTATTTATAATGCTTCCGTAATCATCTAATAGGGCTGGTTATGGAGCTAATAAGGTGCCAGCCGTGTTGATTATAAGCACGTGATCCTCTCTAAATTAGTTTATGAATAAACCGCACTTATTAGTATATCTTGATATGCTGATGCACAAATAATATCCTAATGTAAATTACAAAGCAAAACATCAGTAGGCCATTTGTAACTGAAAAACATAAGCCTTTGGCCATTAAATTGGCCCTATTTGAAATTCAATAACAAAAATATTACTATTCACACTGG